CCATTGATCTTACTGGTAATCATCCAACTGATTTAACCAATCCCAATACATTAAACATGTATTTTAATTTGGGATGTTAGTAACAAAAACAAAAGTTAAATATCCTTAATTAGGTTGATTACTCATTATAGGAAGTTTACTTTCTACGAAACCTTTACTCAAAACTTACCATACATAGAATATTTATTTCTTGGTCTTTGAAGCAAAGCAATATCTTAGAGGTCTAAAACTTTTGAGAAATATCCCGTTGAGCACTGCTTGGTTAGAGTTGGTGGTGAGAGTAAGAGGCATAAACGTCCTTTTGACTATCTTCCAGTGGGCAATTCTATCACTGTTAATGGAACTGTTAATGGTAGTGTCTACTACCAAATATCTGAAGTTTCCGAGACCAATGGACCAACTGATCATTGGTTGCTTCGGTTTAACTTCGAGGAGGAAAAATTTTGCAAAATCACCATTCCTCCGGGCTTACCCAAATTGGGGACCTACTTGGCGAAGTTTGAAGGTAAGGTATCCATAGTCGATGGTGGGTTCGATGGAAGCTTCAAGCTCAACGTTTTGAATCAAGATCTTACTTGGTCTCGTGTACAAGTGGATGTTCCCAACTGGAGGTTGGTTGTTGGTGATGTGTTATGCCATTTCATTGGAACCTTCTTTGACACAATGGTTTTTGCACTAAAGAAGTTCCCACATGAGCCGTTGACCGGAAAGCAGAGACGTGTACAAGGCATAGAATCAATGGACTGGACAACTACGGGATCAAGGACGAGATGTCTTTTGTGGATTATGAAGAAATTGTGGCCCCTATCGGTCATGTACTGTGACCTTTCTCCACATCCACTGTAAATTCACGAGATGTAAAAATCAATGTACAAAGAGATTCTGTCTGGTTAAACCTCTGTTTTAGAAATCTGCAGTTCAATTTCGGTACGAATTCAATCTCAAAATCTTTTTCCATACTTGGGAAACTTGAAGATTTGGTGTGTCTTTTTGGAGTTACATGTTGAAGATTCACTAGAATCTTTCAACCAAACTGAAAACGTGTATTTTGTTGAAGATTTTTCTTTCTTGGTCTTTGATAAGTGAAGTCCTTTTAAGCACTTTCTCGGGCTTTTGATAAGTGGAGTCTTTTTCTTGTATATTCAACTAGATCTTGAGACCGTTGAACACTATTCTTTCTAGGTCTTTGATAAGTGAAGTCTTTTAAACATTTTCTCGGTCTTTTGATAAGTATAGTCTTTTTCTTGTATGTTCAACTAGATTTTGAGACTGTTGAACACAATTCTCGCATTCTACGAAAATGGAAACTATCAAACAACAAATAAACGTGATGAATCAATGAACTCAAAAATGTTGATAAGATTGCCAACAATAAGTACAGTGAAAAGCGGGGAATCAAGAGTTCCATATTCTCCTCCTTCACCGCAAACATTACTCTTTTAAGTAAAGATACACTCAGAAGTCGTAGAATCAAAATGTAACACAACTATAGAATACTCTTAATGAAGCTTTATAAGAGACATGTGGCATACTCTCTTAACTTCACTCAACAACGGACACATTCCACTAAACTCTCAAGTGCTTCCTTGCTTCACCCATCTTTGTAAAACTTAAACGTTGGCACAACTCTCACTCTCTCTGCATCACCCACTGAATGTTTGTCTCACGTACGCTCAAGTTGCATTGAAGAAATCTCAGGGAGAAGTAGTTCTAAACATGGAATTTGGAGGTGAAGTTGAGCAAGTTTCTAGTCATGGTAAGCGGCACTGACCCGTCCTGGTAAGTGATATTTTTAAAATTTGTCTACTCTTTACAGTCAGAGAAACTTTCGTGATCATTGTCTACTTTCAATAATTGTCTACTTTAAACGCGAACTGATTACATGGCGATCTACGATGGCGGAAAGAGC